CATTTATGATTAATTTATTTACAAACACAAACTCTGTTCAGATATGTGTTCTGAGATTAAGGAGTTTTCATTGTGTCTTCTGACTGCTAGCTGGTGCTCATAGATGCGCTCTGCCAGTCTTCTGCCTGTCTGTTCTACATAGCGTTTGTTACAGTCCTTGCACCGTAGGTTGTAGATGGCTCCTCTTTTTCCTTCTTGGGCTACTGGGTCTTTTGGTTTACTTAAGATATTTTGGAGGGCTTTAGTTGGTTTGTGTGCTATGGTGCTGCCATGTGGTTGTAATAGTCTGTTGGTTGTTTCTGAGATGTTTCTGATGTAGGGCAGTGTTATCCTTTTCGTAGCTTGTGTTGGTTGTGCTGTAGTGGGTTGAGCGGTCAGGCACTTTTGATAAAGTTGAGCGGGTATCCATTTTGTTGGAAGATGTTGTATAAGTGGTCTTTTTTCTTTTTCTGCTGTTCTGGGTTGCTGCAGTGCATTTGTACTTGTCTGAATAATGTTCTTACATAGCTCCTCTTGTGGGAGGTTGACTTGTTACTTTAGTAATGGAGCACTTGGTTAGCGTGGGTTGTTTTTCGATAGACTTGTGTTTCTAATTTGCCATCATTTCCTCTGCTGATGTGGATATCCAGGAAGAGTAGTGTGTTGTTGTTTTCTTCTTCCCTTGTGAATTTTATTCCTTTGAAGATGTTGGTGATTGTTTCATGTGTCTTCTTTAGTTTTTCCTTTTTTATTATGTCAAAGGTGTCGTCTACATAGAAGATCCATACTTGAAATTACTTGCTGATTATGTGGAGTAGAATGACTTAGCCCTGATTGACCAATTCAGAGAAGGGCTGACCAATGACCTAAGAGATGAGCTGGTAAGACAAGGTGCCCCAAATACCCTAGAAGAAGTATATCAGTGTTGTGTAATTATAGACGCCCAACTAGAAGAATTAAAGCAGGGAAGGATCAGGAAGGAAAAAAGATCCTACAATCTGCCTTCCTCCTCCTCCTCCTCCTCCTCCTCCTCCTCCCCCCAATAGCTTTCTCAGATTCCAGCGTGGGAGAACCCATGCAAATTGGAGCAACCAAGAAATCCCTATCAGTAGGAGAAAGGCAGAGAAGAAGGGATCAAGGGCTGTGTTTTACTGTGGGGTCCAGGGCACATAGCCAGATAAAACACATTTAAACACATTTCTGAATAATCATAAATGGAATTGGACTGCAATTCCATAAACTTTCACTGCAGAATAACAAACTCATTGAGACTAATACTTAAGCTTATTCCCAGATAAAATATAGGAAACCTATAACAATAATCACATTAAGCTACAGCAACAATTTTTGCAATAACGTAAGGAATTCTAATAAGTATATTATCAGTTTTTTCACTCCTAAGTCTCAGCCACATAAGTTGGTCATGCCAAATTCATATGAAGTGGTTGATTGTAAGAAATTTGGCAGATGGGCAAATGGAAATTGGAAGTGAATTCTTTTCCTCATGCACCTCTCCTTTTTTCCACAAAACTAATTATCCTTGTTTCTCTCTCTTGGAAATCCACCAGGAGAGAAATACATAGCTGGAGGAGAAATTGCTATAGCAGAAAGAGTCCCTTCCTGCTAAGGATGGGCTTTAAATAACTGCAACCCTACACTAGTTATATTAATGTGAGGTTTGGAGATCACAAAGCAGGAAAAGAGGATCCTGGGACCAGATGTGACCATTTGGTAACCACTAATCATGTGTAGAGCCAGTTTGGTGTAGTGGTTAAGGCACCAGGTTAGAAACTGGGAGGCCATGAGTTCTAGAAATGCCTTAGGCACAATCACCAGAAGTCAAAATGACTCAAAGGCAAAAAAACAAAAACAAAACAGGTATAATCAGGCCAGCTGAGAAATTGAATGCAAGTGCTCTGTTATAAAAGACTGAAGATAGAAACTCAAGGTTTGAACCTGGGGACACACGCCCACACAGAAAGAGAATCAGATTTTTAGCTTTTGTAGAAGCTGCTTTTTGTCATCATGATTGCTTGTATCTGCAATGAAGTATCTACTCAAGCAGAGTTCCTGTCTTCACGTAAGACCACCTAGTTCCAGAGAAAGAATTATTGCACAGGTCTTGGGAGCATCCTCTTGTAGCTAGTTTCAGTTATTTGACCTAACTCTATTAACTCAATTAGTTTCAACTGTTTGACCTAATTCACATTGCCACTATTATCACTCCTCATTTCTTCCTCAAAAGCACTCTGAAGCTGACCTCCAACATTTTTCCTGGCCTCTAAACCTCAATGTACTGAGAACACTATGAGCCAATCCCAATGGGGGAAAAAAGCACTCAAGCAATGTGGCATTGCTTCATTCACATTATGTTTATTTCATGTGTAAATTAGCCCAGTGGTTTTAAAAAAAAAACTGCTATGAGAGCACTACAAACCTACTACTGCACTATTCCTTCATTACATTTAAATGCCATGAAATAATAGCAGCTGAGCAGCTGATCCTATGCTTTGATCTCAGACGCCCGACGGGAACAGGGCAACTTCCTGCCATGGGAAGCTAGCCCATCCCTAACTTCTTCAGAACTTCAGTGTAGCCAGAAATATATTGATTCCACTGACAGAGATTATGCTATGGGACAGCATAGCTGGGATACTGATTCATGAGCAACACAAAGACCCACATGGAAGTGCTCAAGCACTAACTCCAATTATTGCTTAAGACTGAAGTCAGAAACACTTTCAAACCAGAAAGTCAAATCCACTGTGGTGAATTTCAAAACACTGAACACTGTACACATCAACCAGCACTCCTTCCAACTGCACACAAAAATCAGCATCTTTCCTTAGTTCTCATGTTACATTGTTTTTTTGCTTTAGTGAGCTTTTTAAAAAAACCTGTGCAGGGAACTGTAAAGATGCCTTGATGGTGGGTCAAAAAGACCACTGAAAGGATAGCATAGCCTGCAGCTGTTTACCTGCTATATGAAGTGGAGAGAGTTAATTAGGCAAGAGACAGAATGAGGCAAGAGTTACTGCCAGTGGAAAACAGCCAGTCCTTAAGCTCCAGCAGTCCTAAAGTAAAAATCACCTTTGCTGCAGTTCATCTTATTTATGTCATAACTGAGCCAGAAATAATTCAAATTAGCTGTCTAACAAGAGGCTGCCAGATCAAAGGACCCCAGAACCAGTTTGGAAGAGACATAAAGGACATGTGTGGAAAAGTTCCTGCGGCTCAAAGGCTGCACCCCAAAAACAGGCAGGACCAAGGACATATTTTGGGAAGGGGGCACAGGGGTTTTAAGTGAAGTCCATTTAACCCCTGCCCAGACATCATCATCATGCCCAAAATTTTAGATTCACCCACTTTAGGTTGCAATTCGGAGCCCATAAAAAGTCTGCTAGTGCAGACTTTGAGCCCCCCTGCCTTAGAAGATCCCATATTATTCTTTTCTCTAGTCTGCCCTTTCTCTTTACTGGGAGAGAAAAACTATTTTGGCATGCAAATCTCTGCAAAGCAAGATGGTGAGAAAACTTGTTGTTGAATCAGATTTGCTATGGCACGGGATATTTTACACTTAACTGTACAAGTGATAAAATCTTTTTGGGCTTCAGTTGTGGAAGAAGTAATAACCACACCAGCTTTTCTTCTGTGCCACACACTCAATTCATACAATTATTAATTTGCTTGAAACAAGAATACCTTCACCCACCCACCCCCATTAAGCAGAATAATGTTGAAGAGATAATATTGCTCTTAAGCTTGTAGCTGTTCTGGAATTCTACAGAATGTAGCCTGAGGAAAGAGGAGAGCTAGAGATATAAATAATTTGTTCAGAGAGTGTTGAAAGCAGAGGCATGATAACAACATTATGGCTCATAGTACACATATTC